CTAAAGCTCAGTCACTCAGAAAAAGAGATGGGGTAGGACTGTGGGCCTAAGATGGAGCTGACAAGATGGTGCCAGTGTGGTTCAGCCACATATCATGGGACGGAGAATGACTGAGTCAGGGATTCCATTTAGATACTGTGGTCCTGTAAGACTGCAGAAGTCCTAGGGCCAGTCCGGGTAATGTAGATCCCATTCCAGAAAGGCCAACAGTGACTGGGATTGGCCTTAATGGTTCAGAAAACTTCACCAGCTACCCCAAATATATCTGGTTAGGAGGCAGCCTATATCCCTTGTACCTACTACAGTGACTGACTCATAAAGGGCCCCCAGTGAATACTGGTGAATGGTTGGCTGGCTGGCTGGCTGGATGGATGGATAAGTGGATTGTTGGATGTGTAGTTAGTTCCAGTGATTTTGACAAGATCTCTTTGGTGAGAACTTGAAGCGGGACTTGCTGAAGCTATTGGGCCAAACTGGGCATTCACTTTGATGAACAGCTCCCTTCTAAATGATAAGGCAATGGTGAGATATGCTATACCTGACCCTGAACATACGTGGTGTTCTAAGAGTTATGAGGCTGCCTTGGGGAAGTGACGACTTGAAATCTGAAGGCTGAGTAGAAATTAACCAGGAGGAGAAGAAAGAAAAAGGCATTTCAGGCAGAAGGCATAACCCAGCATAACTGTGGTGCAGCGGGAGAGCAGGATACTGGTGAGGCTCTGGAAGGAAGCTGGTCTGGAGAGGGGTGAGGAGAGGTGTGGGGCTAGAGGAGGTGGGAGAGGTAGGCCAGAGCCAGAGCCTGCAGGCAAGCTCAGGACTTTGTTCTGAGTCCCAGTAACTAACTGTGTGTCCACTCATTTGCCTTTACCCCCCTGTAAGCTCCTTTGTGTTTACGCTAGGGTGTCCCTCACCTAATAAGAAACCCAGTTCCTTCCACCAGCCCTGTGTTTAGGATTATATTAGTATAAGAAATTTCAGCTGTGGTGTCAAGTTACAGGCAGACTTAAGTAGGGATAAAAATAAAGTGGTACATTCTTGAGAATAAGGGAAATGGATGCTCCCCCTTGAACAAAGAGGAGGGATTGAGACATATAATCAGCTCTTTCTCTATGATATATCTGACCAAGGTAAATGCAGTGCCCCTCTCATCAGTCAGCAAACTACCAATTTGAAGTATCCAAAAATGTGTGCACTAAACTCTAACACACTTAGATCTGAAACTCTGGAATTCTTTGGCAATTTGGGGTGGCTCTGTTATAAAGCAGGGGCTGTGTAGAAATTACGGAGTGGTGATATTTATATCCTCCACAGTGGCTTGCATTAAGTAGGTGCAATAATTGATAATAAATACTAAGCTGAATTTTAGGACATTGAGAGCCACTGTATAATCAACAAATGCATGCATTTAGGACCATTATCTGGGACTCTTGTCAAGGAAGAGGCACAATGTTTTGAAAGAGCCCTGGCCAAGATTCATGGAGACAATATTCTGATTCTTGCTCTGGCTCTGTCATGAAGGAGCTCGTGGCCCCTGGACAACTCTTTCAAACCACCATAAGCCCCACCTTCACTGTAAAATACGGTGAAGTCATAAGTATTGTTACAAGAATGGCAAAAGTTAAGTATCATCAAAATTATCTGAAAAATGTGTGAGGAAGAAAGTGCCTGAGGAAGGCGCAGTCCTGCAACCTGACACACCACACCACCTCTTAGTAAGTCCAGCATTGCCAATTTCTCCCCCAGTGTTGGAAACAATTGCTGTTGACGCAACTGAACGCCAGATGAAGTGGTTGGCTTGCATTGAGGAGCCATGTTGTAACAAAAAATGTACCTTCTCTTTAAACACTAAAGCTACATTTCAGTGAGGTGTGATGCTTCCTGGGAAGCACCTGGTTCTGACTGAGGTAACACTGCCCACATGGATCTCTCTCATCTCCCCAGCTGCTGTTTCTGCATCTGTTAAGAGAAGAAAGTGATACCTCCTTGTCCCTACCTACCTCAAATGCATTTTATGAGGATAACTGTGGATACGTGTATAAAGTCCAAGTCAATGGGAAAAATCTCCAAAATCAATTTGTCACGTCAACGCTGTTTTATGCAGCCAACATTTACAATAATGCAGTATCACACAGGACAGAATCCCAGGGCTACAAGTGTTCTTCGAAGGATCCTCACTTTTCAACAAGGTGACCTACTCTGTGTTGCACTTAGACATTTTTCCTTTAATAACTTACCATCTGCTTCTTTAGAAATTTCACTCACTGTCTTAGTAATGTCTTTTGCAGCCATAAAAAATAAGTATTCTTGCCTGTGACAGCACTTCAGATTTTCAAGGAAAGCAGCTGTGTCTCCTCTTCTCACAGGACATGAGTACCAAAGCTTTCATTCACCATCCCAGATATATACAAAATTTATTTACCAACGTCCCTATTGCAGGGCAGACAGGAGAGCTGGGCCTGCCTATGTGTGAGGTTCCTTGAGTGGAAAAAACTCATTTCTGGTTTGGAATGATGGCTGCAAACCCAGAGTAAATGTATCATAGGGGAGGTTGAAGATCCCTTTCTTAAATGAAAATTTCAGATTTGTGCATTTTACTGATACCAAACACGGACAAAAAAAGAAAAAGAAGAAAAAAAAAATTCACCACCTTAATTCACCAAAAGGAATCCAATTTCTGAAGTCCGCCATCTTTTAAATATTTGAAATGTTTCCAGGGATTGTGTTTAGGTCATGCATGCATGCCATCTCTGGAATTCATTTTTCAAGGATCCAGGTTGAACAGAATTGAGATATGGGGATTTATTTATGTTTTCTAATGCCCAGAGATAATCAAGAATGCCACAGTTATTTCTCAAGAACAATATGACCTGGTGAACCCATTAACCTTTTTTTTTTTTTTTTTTAAATATGGAACGCTTCACAAATTTGCGTGTCATCCTTGCACAGGGGCCATGCTAATCTTCTCTGTATCGTTCCAATTTTAGTATATGTGCTGCCGAAGCGAGCACCCCATTAACTTTAACAGGAGTAGGCATTAAGAACAGACTGAGGTCATCTCCCTAACAACTCTAACAGCTTCTGAACAAATGGAATCCCATAAATTTTCCTAATTCCGTGGTTCTTAAAAGACCAATGGCTGAGTAATTCTACCAATGATATAATTCTGTTAAGTATCCTGATCACTTTCTGAGCCTTGTAATGACTAGAATGTATAGCACATATAGTCTGGGATATACACTGTGAAATCTGTTCATGGTTTTTGCTAAAAGTTGATAAGTTTAAAAATACAGTGTAGGAAAATTACTTATGGTTGTGGAGGGAGATGGGAGAAAAGTGCCAAATGAGCTTTTAATGAGGACTTCTGAGTGTGAACATATGTAAAAAGAACCTTTAGATAGAAGTATTATGATAAACAAAAAAGATCAAGCTAAGTTCTCAAGAAAATTTATAGGTACAAGATCATAGTGTTTATATGTACAATGAACAACTTATTCATGAAGAACTATTTTGTTCACTGTTAATAGACAAGCACACTTGGTTCCCTGGAAACACTTCAACTAGACAAAACATACCAACATGTTAGTCATAAATATAGCTTTATTATTATTTCATAATCTAAAAACTTTTTTTTAAAATCTGGGAACAGAACATTCCTACTTCCATACAACAGAATGACCCTGAAGAATACCGGTAACAGTGTCTACGTTATCTGAACTTTGCATTTAAGAATCTGTAACCTAGTTTGGGAAAAGAGAATGAAAGAAGGTTTGAAATAAAGATTTCTTCCTTACAAAGCAAATGATAAAATTAGATCCATTCTTCAGTTTAAACTTGAACATGTTTTCCCAGAAACTTTGGTGATTTCTTCAAAAAAGCAATTCTAAGGTTGACTGCCTATTAAGAAACAGAAAATATTTAAAAATAAGACCCAAGTTGGACATGGCACAAGACTCAGGCCAAGGCATGTAAATGGGATATCCCTTAGAATGAGGTGGCTCCCATGTCTCAAAAGCAAATTTATGTCTCTAAGGAAGCACAATATACATAATGCATCTCCTTATGTAAGAGTCAGAATTTAGTTAGAACTTAAAAAAAATTTTTTAATATAATAAACCTTAAAATCATTTCTCTTGTGTAATGTACATGGAGTAGATATGACATTATGGTGCTTTCTTAAGGTCACTGGGTACCACTGTCAAAGAGAGCTGTCATGCCCTCTAGGCATATTAAATGAAAATTGAAAATGTAAGTTACATTAAATAAAATGGGGAAAAAATCTGGCTTCTATCACCTTTAAAAGCAAACTGTTGTCATTGCACACACACATTATGGGACAAAGAGCATGCAATACAACAAACAAGTCAAGTTTTTAGTATGTAAAAGGCTAAAGTGCAATCATGGTATAAACATCAATAATAAATAAACTTGAAGGAGATTAATTCTCCAAATAAATAATTATTATAACGTTACAGTTTTTAGTGTTAGCCTAAACAGTGATATTCACAGCAATGTATTTTCCCACTTAATAGTTGCCTATACGCCACGTGAAAAGCCCACCCCCATGAGCCAAAAGTCAAGGTGAAGATTCAAAAATTAACATTTTCACTACGATAGGTTCAAAGCATTTGTATAAGTTACACTTTTCAATTTACTGGCATTTTAAGTAATTGCTTTGTTACCTATTTTTAATGCATTGCTAATCTGATGCTTATTGCAATAACAATCATAATTCTACTAATGTTAATTAGGTTACAGCTTTAATTTTTAAAATAAGAGAATTCAATTTACATGAAAATACATAGTTTAAAAACCACCCACCACAAACACACACCTTTTTCATGAGTATTTAAAAATAAATTATTAATATACTTGACATATATATTTTGTATGTGTTATGTGCTGTACATTTATACAAATAAATGTATATATTTGTGGACATAATTGTTCTTATTTCCAAAAGAATGTCAGCACTTGTAAACTCTGCAGGAGACCTGATGATATTGCTAATTTAAAAAAAAAAAAAGTAACACGGAAATTCATTCTTGAAGAAAATTGTAAAGCAGGAGGTTCGTAACAGATGGTTCTTTATGGAAACCAAGGCCATTTTAGGGAGGCAGGGCGGGGAGGACAATCTCAGATTCTGGATCCCACATGCAATGTTTATTTCAGAAATTACTTTAGAAGGCCGTATACAACAAATACATTAGATACTTGGTTGAAAGGTAAGAACATGTATTTTAGTCATAAAAGGGCACAGAAGCAGCAGGAGGTGGAAAAAGTTAGGCCAGCAAGGAGAAAGTCATGCCTACAGCTAACAGATAGGATGCTGACACCCCCCGGGAAGCAGGTCTTAGGAAAGGGCTGAGTAACATCTGTGGTGTCTCTGGGATGGCTCACAATGCACTAAATGTGCAATCCACTGGCATCCAACCATTCAGACCCTGAACTGGTGATGGGTGCCGATCAAAAGTGTTTTACTATCCTCCCCAACCATAGCAGTAGAAGCAGCTATTAAGATAGAGGCTGGCAGCTTGGTCTTAGGGTGCAGAATACTCAGCCAAAGAAGAGAACAGAGGTGCATCAAAATAAGAATAAACATGCATCCAGGGAAACAAAAACCTGCATGAAACAAACTAGAAAACAGTCTGTCGGAATGACAACTGAAGTCTGACAGAACGAGTCCTTGAAGCAGCCCAAACACTGAAATCTTGATTAATCAGAATACTCAGGGAAACAGCCTTATTTTGGAAGCTCCCAAATTAATTGAGGGTAAGGTTAAAAACAAACAAAAATATGTTTATTTCACTACTATTAACAGGACTTTACATTCCCATTCCTTGCCTCACAATTCACAGAACAGGGGGCACAGGTTGAGTTTTTTTCCAGCGCCTGACATCTTCTTTGGCCTTGGGCCTGAGAATTAACCACTGCACAGAACTCCAGATGTGGAAATGGCTGGAGACGGGCTAACCATCTTAGAAGGTGGAGCTTCATTTTACTAAAAGTTTGGAATAAGACTGCTTGCATTGTTAAAAAATTCTTTCTGTAATTTGCCTCTTGCTTCCAAAAGGGACTTGTAAAAAATTCTGGTTCACCGAGATTTCCGTTTGTTAAATTCTGGTTAATCCAGGTGCCTGTATGGACATGAAATGTGTTTTATGATGGCTTGTGTCTAAAAGAACATTACTGACCCCTAGAACAACATTCCCAAAGCCCAGTGGTGGTTGTCCAGAGCCATCCACCCTTTTAGATGATGTTCACAATCGCTGTTGGCTTTTTTTTGGCCATTTTCGGCCTTATGTTTCCTTTCCGGGTAAATCCTAGAGGCTCCCCTTTCTTTGCTGGTCTGCAGAGTTCTCTTGCGGACTCGGCCTGTTCGTGCGTGGACTTATTAGCAGGCTGCATGCTGGCTCTGTCATCCTTGGCTTTTTTCAGGTAGCTCCTTCCCTTTGGATGGAAATGGGTCTTGAGATCAGGGTGGTTACACACAGAATGTGGGTGCCCTCGGCTTCTACAAATGGTTAGGGGGGAGGAAGGAGATGAGCAGAAAGAAAGATTTCTTTAAATCCTTAAAAGAATAAAATCTACTCATGGAACAATCACTCCTGCATGCTAAGGTGGCAATAATGCTGCCAATAAAACAAATAATATATATTGATATTTTTCTTCCAAAAATTTCTATGGCCTTCATGAAGTGATCTCATGATACTAAATTCCCAGGGAGATATTACTAGTCTTATTTACCAGTGATAAAAACTGAGGTAGAGAAAACTTAAATGACTATCCAGGGTAATACATACAGTGGTCTATGGAGAAGATGGGACCAGAACCCTTATCTCTTGACTCTTTAAGTGACTTCTAGGGGATTCAAACAAATCTGTAGTACAGCTATCATAAAGTATATGATTCACAGTATAAATTTATATATATATATATAAATTAGTGTGCACACTACATTAATAGTGCTATAGAGATATTACGACTACACTATAGCACAATAAGAGAAAGTTATATTATACAATATTTTAAAAAGACTCCTGCATTACTATCATACTGCCGTATACTCACAGACTATTAGCAGAGTTAAAAGTCACATCCACATTTTAGAAAGTTAGGTACACAAGCAGGTAAATTTTCTCCTGAAACTCTCAAATCCACTTATATTATAGATATCATATAAAGTGCAACAGGAACACATATTATGCAAACAATATCAAATAGCCTAAGTATAAAAAGATATACATACAGGCATTTGGATTTCCTATTTGAGGAGATATCTGTAAGCTGAAGGAAAACAAATAAGACAAAACATTACTTCACTTAAAGGCTGGATTCGGTTTTTAAAATCCTCGTTGCTTATATTTTTAAGAAACTGTATTCCCATTAAAGAAGCCGGTAACTGGTATCGGGATCACTGCCCATGGCACCATCCATCACCGCGGAGAACAAGAACGTTTCATGCTCAGCTCTGCTTACTCAGGAAGCCTCTGTGGCTCCCTGTTCTGAGATTTCCAAGAAGCCAGTATCAGCAGATCTCAAAAATTTCAAAAAGTTAAACAGCCCCTCAAGAGAACAACACTTGAAGAAACATGTTTTTAAAAACTGGAATGATGTGCCATTATTTCTTGATTGATTCAGGCTGTATTTGCAGCTAATTTACTACAGCTATGTCTGGTCACAGTGTATCAACTACGGGGAAAATTGGCATAAAATGTTTATTGCCTAAAATACATCATTTCTAAAATGAGAGCATACGAAGACCAACTCCACAAATGTCCTGAGGCCATCTATCTTTGAGGTTATTTTCCACTCTCAATAAAATATCTGCATGCACTTTTGTGGTTGGGCTCAGAATATCATTTGCAGAATAAATGATAATTATCATTTTGTGTTCCACATGTCACCAGACACTTTATAGGCAAGTGTATTTATAGCATATTCCCAACCTCCCTCATGCAGCCTTTACTGAAAGAAGTGGCGTCACATCTGCAAGCAGACTGACGGAAGAAGAGGACGACAAAGAGAATGTGGAGAAAGGGCCATCCTGGCGCAGCGTGGCCAAGACATGCATCCCTCTATACTCAAATCACTGGAGAAACCAAGCTCAGCATAACAGGATCTTCCTCCAGGTCTTCTGTGTGAAGCTTGAGCTTTAGTCAGGAGCAAATCAGGAAGCAGCTTTCTTCAGCAGACTTCTGAGGGTCACGTGCCTAGGAAGGTAAGATGGGACTCCTGCCTTCTGCCTTGGGACACAACTGAAAGTCAGCATTATTGCTGACCCTGTCCACGCTGGCTGGGTTTGGCATGAGAGTAGTAAACGTGAACAGAAAAAGGCACATTCCTTGCGTGAGGGTCATGAGGTCTTGCAATATACAAAGAAGGGGGAACAGATGGCTCCGGCAAACACCAGACTGGTAGTTTCCGGGAACCCCAAAGGCATCAGCATTTCTACCCTCTTTCTCCCAGTCCGCCTGCCCCCGCTCCCCATCAGCTGGGCTCCTTGAATGGGTTTTAGTGTGTATATAAACTCTAAAAACTTACAGGGTTTTCCTTCCTTTAAATACTTTCCCACTTAAAAAAAAATTATTATTATTGAGGCATGACAAAATATGTTCAACTTTATGTATGTATGCAAGCATATAGTGTAATGATGTATTGCATATGGGTACATAATTCCCTTTGGAATTTTATGCAAAAGTTGTGTGTGTGTGTGCTTCTCTCACAGGGAAAAGGCCAACAGTGATCTGCTAGATTATGAGACTTGGGGTGGAGGTGGGGCCGATATCACAGGCACCAAAGAATTTCATGTGCTCTCCTCCCTGTGAACACAAGAGGCCTCCACAGCCTCAGGCAGATGGAAATGCTCTTCCCACTTAGCCCAACTACCTACCTCCATTTTCTCCTGGTCCAGCTACTTTGTCTTCTTTTTACTTAGGGAGAGGAGGGTATGAAGATGGGGATCAAGAGAGTCCTTGGTCAAGGTTTCAGGTTGAAAAAATATAAATAACCTTGCACTGAGAGCCAATTTAAGTACTTAAAAGACAAATATGGTGTCTCAGGTTATTATAGGTTTTGGGAAACTGGACACCTAGCCCTCCTCCAACTTCCCCTCTGTTTATACTCAATTTTTGAGGCCAAAACCTTGGACTCGTTTTTGACTCCTCACTTTCCCTCGCCAGCTAAATCTAATCCTTCAGCAAGGCCAGCTGGTCTTGTCAATTTTCCTCCAAGAACATATCCGATACCCTTCACCTCTCTCTACTCGGTTCTACCCAAGCTGCCATCCCCCCTCATCTGCCACAACAGAAGAGCTTTCTAACTTGTCGCTTATTTTTGCACCCCTCCAGTCAATTCCCCACAGAGCAGCAGAGTGATTTTGCTAAAACACAGGTCACCTCCTACTTAAAACCTTCCAATGGCTTCCCCGTGTGCAGTGGAACATATGCAAACTCCTTATATGACCAAGAAGCCCCTGCCTGATCTGGATCCTTCCTACCTCTCTGACTTATCACCCACCACTCAAACATGCCAAGCTTGTTCCCTCCTGAGGCAGCTGCATTTCCTATTCCTTTGCCTAGAATATTCCACTTCCAAATTCTCACAGAGCTGCGTCCTTGTTATTCAGGTCACAGTGCAAATGTTGCCTCCTCAGCAAGGCTTTTTTTGAAAGCTTTTTGCTAAAGCTAAAGTGGCCATCTCAAACATATCATCTTACTTTTTTCTTTATAGTAGGATCTTCATTATACGAAATTATCTTCATTATCTGTTTGCTTATTGTGTGCCCCTCCTCCCTGAGACCAGGGACCTCATCGACCTCGTTCACAGCAGTTTCCTCAGCACCCAGTAAGCACTGCATCCCCAGTAAATATGTTAAATGAATTACTGCTAGTCCTAATTTAGCAACCTGCAGGAAATAAATGCAATGCTTAAAATAAGATTATCCAAGCTATTTCATGACCTTCCATTTGAGCAGTTCTGTGAGTGATTTTGGCAGATGAGATATTAGGTCACTTTGTGTCTAATTCGACAGCATGTTTCTGAGCATACAAATTACCTGAGTAAGCATATTACATTTTTAGAAATCAGCCAGGTGAAAAAGAACATAAATGCTCAAGAGGATTAAGGGAAAGATACATATGCCGAAACATTATTTCAGAAAAGGCACTAAATATGAGGGGGAAGGAAATTCTTCTAGAGCACAAAAGAATCTTAAAGCTAGAAGACATCTTAGAAAGAAGCAATTTAACACGTCAATCTAGAAATGTCACTACTCTCTGGAGGTGGTAATGAGAAAAAGAGGGAAGAGGAGAGAGGGAGGGAACTGGGGGCTGGAAAAGAAGGGAGATGACAAGGCCGCACTGTTTCTGTACAGCAGCCTTGTTGGAGATGGCAAGAGCCAGCCAGGCTCCTGACAGCATTCCCCACTGTTCTGGAGGAGGGAGCGGAGGTGGGGGGAGTCAGTCAGAAAGTTCTGCTCCATCCTGGGGTGCACTGCGGCAAGGAGCTCTCCTGGGCGGGGCTGAGGCTCCAGAAGCCCAGGCTTCTTGGTGCCCTGCACTTTCATTCAGCTGGGCCAAACAGGTTACTAAAGATACGATTCAAAGGTTTTCCTGCTAAAAGAATCCAAGTTCTTCCATAGCCACAGATACCAGAGAGGCCAGACTGAGCAGTCTGATTACATCAAAGACGTGGTGAATGTATTTTATTATGATGAAACAGACTAAGTAAAAAGGTAAAATGGTCTTAGGGTTTGTAGACTGTCTCATAACGTGGTACACTATGGTCCAAAGTAGAGTTTAGAGGACTATACATGAAAACAGGGGAAACGACATCTGCCCATACTTTCAGAAATCAAACATCTCATTCTTGGTGTTCTCAGGGCAGTGTGTTCTCCCTCCAAAAGTCAGCTCACCTCACTACAGCCTGATCATGCCCTACTCACAGACAGCTCTCACTTCTAAATTCACTGCTACAATCTTAACTGCACTTTATTTGATCCGAATTAGTCAACTCTTCCTTATGTAGATCAAATCTGAAGAAGGCAGATGACGTCAGGTTTTGGGACATAGAGAACAAAAACAAATATTGATTAATTAAATGTCCTACCGTATTTGTATGTACATGTATATATATGTGTGTGTGTGTGTGTGTGTATGTATATACACATACTTATGTGTGCGTGTGTGTATATATATGTTATGTGTACACATACACACACATAATTTTATATCTATACATCTGACTAGAAGAGCTGAGATGCTGTTCAACTTTTGATTACATGATACAGCAGCATGAGAAGTAAGGACTGGCCATGTCTTTTAAAAGGTGTTCAGTTTCCAAGCTGGAAAAGTAAAGTCAGCAGAAGAAGTGAGCACAGAAATGTAAATAAAGGCGAGAACTAATGGGCTTCCTTTCTTTCTCATTGCCTTCCATTATTTTCTCTGAGACCTTCTTAGCTCTGGGTTACTAATAATTTATACATTTCTTAGTTCTGGGTTACTAATAAGACTAAATACTGAAAATATCATGGCTACATTTTAATTTTAGAATTCCTAACCACCAAAGTCAGGTGATGATCACAGAACTTAAGAGGCCAAAAGCCCTTATACAGCATCTAGTCCAACTGCTTCATTTTATAGAAGAATGATAGGCCCAGGAAGACAAACTGTCTCATCCAGTCAGAAGCAGGGTGGGAATGATCTAGAAGCCAGGCCCTCTCACCTCACATCTGGGCTCGGTGACCTCATGCCACAACCCTCCCCTGAGAGATGGCAAGGTGGAAGAAGGAGGCAGGAAAGGGCTCAGAGTGTCCCTCCAGCCGAGACTGCACTCTTGCATTTCCCAAGGAGGTGACAGGGGAATCGAGGAGGGGAATAAACGTTCCTTCTCAGGGGACCACAGACACCCACCTGGAAAATAATAAATACGTCAGGTAGCTGAAACTGCTTTGATGACAGTTACTGAAACCTCACAAACATGACACATTTACTTCCTTCCAGTCTACTTTGTTCCTGACTGGGAAGTTCTGGCGCTTGCCCAACTGTGCGGCTCGAAGGCTGAGGGAACGTTACTACAGTAGGCACCGTGTAAGATTCTTCATTTCTTTCCTTCCTCCATGTCTCTGTTCTTTCCTGCTGTCTCTCTCCCTCCGGTCTTCCTTCTTTATCCACATGCCTTTCATTTCATTCCTTCTTCGATTATTTAATCATGTATCCTGTTAATCTTGGCTTCCGGACTGCTCAACCTAAACTTTTCAATCCACCAATAGCAACCTTACTAACCTTTTGGTTAGCATAAGTGTTCCCTATTTTTCTTTTCCTCATATATATAGTCCATTTGGGGGTTAGTAAAAGAATCATCTTTAAATCTTCTGGGAAGGTGGTAATAAGCATAAATAAAATTCAATGGATAATGAAAATGTTATAAATAAACCACTTTAGGTTTTCAAAAATCCATTCTTTGGCTTTGTTGTTTATACCACCAAGGAAACTGTATAGAGGGCAAATATGGCCATCCACCTCCGACACCTACAGCATGGTTATTTGTAAACACCCCACCCTCTGAAGAGACCAGGTAATCTGGATCAAGCCACTTATGAGGGCCTTCCCTGGTGGCGCAATGGTTAAGAATCCGCCTGCCAATGCAGGGGACATGGGTTCAGTCCACATCCAGGAAGATCCCACATGCTGTGGAGCAACTAAGCCTGTGTGCGCCACAACTGCTGAGCCCACGTGCTACAACTACTGAAGCCCGCGCACCTAGAGCCCATGCTCCGCAACAAGAGAAGCCACTGCAATGAGAAGCCCGTGCACTACAACAAAGAGTAGCCCCCGCTCGCCACAACTAGAGAAAGCCCTCGCGCAGCACCGAAGACCCAATGCAGCCAAAAAAAAAGCCACTTATGAGAGTCTGGACCTTCATCCATATTCAGGGTTCTCACTTGGGCTCTAGGCGTTTTTTAAGTCCCTGAAACCATATGTAAAATTGTATGCAAAAATGTATTATAATATATCACCTGTGAATTTTTCTTAGTCTTTTTGAAAATCTACTTAAAGAATGTTTCACCTATAGAGACTACCAAATAGTGTTTTCCTTCCTATTAAAGAAAAAATGTGGTTAAATTTTGCTAACTAAGAAGCATGAAAGTTTTCAGAAGATTCCTTGAAGAGCTCCAAAACAGGATAATAACTTCCAATATACTTGACACCAAGGTAGGGACAGATGATTTCTTTGTATACTTCGAACTGTCATTCTACAATATAAAAATATTTCTACCAACTCAGCTTGGTGTGGAGCTGGAGAGTGAAGAAATGGAGACCGTGCGTCCAGGAATGTAGCTTACTTCCAAGCGTCTTGAACTCACCTGTATCACTTCCCCGACACAGGCATGGCCAGGGCAGTGCTTTCAAATGACGTCTAGAAAATTCCTGCAAATCATTCCCCAGTTCCCTTTTCTTCTGTCCTTGACCCCACCTGATATATCACAGCCCTCACACCTGGTGCGGGGCCTGCATGACTCACCACGTGCTCACTGGTGTCCCGGCAGAGGCCAGCGGCCTGCTGGCTGTGATAGTACTCCAACTGCTTTTCCGCCAGTTCTACCCGGTGCAGCAGGTTCTCAATAAAGTCCTGGAGCCGAGCTTTCCCCTGAACCTCCTTCTCAGCGGCTGCTTCCAGGAAATGGTTGAATGTAACCACTTCTCTGCAAGGCAAAAACATCAGAACACAAAATGGAGAAGCGAGACAGGAATTCATTCATTCAATACATATTTACTGAGTGCCTACTATGTGTCAGGTACTGCCCTAGGCAGTATGGCCACAGCATGATAAAAGAGATAAAATTACATTTTAAGTGATACATTTAGAGGCTACATTTTAGTAGAAGAAGATAGTCACTATAAAATATACAAATAAACATATATGTCATATGGTGATAAGTGCTAAGGAGAAACAGGGCAGGGGGACAGCGAATGATGGAGGAAGGGAAGGAGTAAGTGAAACTATAGAAAGCAAAGTCAGGACAACATTTTGGATGGGGCAGCATTTGAACAGACACCAGGAAGCAAGGAACAGCCATGCAGATAGCTGGGAAGAGCAAGCCAGGTGCTCGGTGGGAATGTGCAGAATGGCCTGAGGTACAGCAACGAGGCCTGCAAGGACAGAGCAGAGTGGGGAGGGTAGGACAGCCAGAGCAGGGACCAGGCGGGGCCTCACAGGTCAGTGTGCCAGATGTTATTATGAGATGGGAAACCACTGGCCACTTTTGAGAAAAGTTCTGACTTACATTTGAAAAGTCTGGCTATTGGGGAAGAAAAGACTACAGGGAAGGAAGTATGGAAGCAAGAGGCCACACTGAGCACCAAAGCATATAAAAGGAGTCACCATGTCCAATAGTGTGTATATATATATATATATTTTTTTTTTTTTGCGTTACGCGGGCCTCTCACTGTTGTGGCCTCTCACGTTGCGGAGCACAGGCTCCAGACGCGCAGGCTCAGCAGCCATGGCTCACGGGCCCAGCCACTCCACGGCATGTGGGATCTTCCCGGACCGGGGCACGAACCCGCGTCCCCTGCATCGGCAGGTGGACTCTCGACCACTGCGCCACCAGGGAAGCCCCAATAGTATATTTTTGAGCTAAGAATGAAACAGTCCAAGAACTGCCATCTTGAGGTAGATCCAAGGTCTGTTGGGGAAGCTACGTTAGCTGACATAGGAGAAGCAATGTTCAGGTTGCCCTTCCCTAAAAAGTTGAGCAAAATACCTTTACCTACATAATTCATTGTGATTCAGAAATCCAGAAAAATTTTAATAACTATATTACTATTTTATATCTTTTTATTTCTAATGCAAGTATGAAAATAATACTTTACTGAATTATAACTAAATAAGTTCTTTATAAAAAATTCAAACATATTAAAATATAATGAAGAAAATATCACCTGAAACCCCATTATCCTAAGACCACCACTGTTTACATTTTGGTAACCATCCTCACAAACATCTCTACATACACACACACACACACACACACACACACAAATCAGTACTACCAATAGGTATACAGTATCACAATTCTCTCATTTGATTTGCCTCACTTAATAAGAAATCATGAAGATCTTTTTGGCCATCCCCTTTGTATGTTTTGTCACACTCACTGGAGCTACTGATTTCCATAATTTCACTACCTGTTGGATATAGTATTTCCTTTATGTGTCTTTGAACTCGCAACCTTCAGAGAGCAGTCCCTCATGTTTCTGGCCATGTTCTACTCACGCAGAACCAAGATTCTAAGGACTCTGATCATTGTTCCCCTAAACTTCATTCATTTTAGATTAAAAAATCTAAATGTTTTCTTAAATCTAACCTCATGCAGTTGTTCTAGAGAGTTCATTAAATTCATTGCCTTCTCTGAATCTTCTCAACCTCCACTTGATTTTTATTTTCTGCTAAGCTCCATAATTTCTTGAGAGTAGAACTTCAGGGCTGTTCAGCTCAGGAAGTCATAGTTTCAAAGAAGGTCTTTGCAAAACAGTTGGTGGTGGCTTCCAGATCCTTTATTCTGTACAACTGGTCAGGGAGCCACTTTTACAATTAGTCATGACTTTTCTCTCATAAATATATTACATCACACTTGGCCATACTGAAACTTTTCTGACACTTCCTACAGAGTCAAACGTCTCTGTAAAATGTTATATCATATATTTATAAAATTATATATTTATAAAAACAGAAAAGAGACTGGTTCTAACAATGATTCACTCCAAAAATTGCTCATCATACCAGTCCCCTTTTTTCTAGTTTCCTATCCAGATCAAACATAAACCCAGAGCCCAGAATAATTCCATTATCTTTCAGGAGCTAAGAAGTAGTCACATATAGGAAATAAGAGTCCTTTTGGAAAGTTCTCTTTCATCACTAAGTTTCAAGTTTATTTCCAGATGTTTCCGTATGAGCCCTGCATAGAAGATGTGCACTTTCCAAGCTGTTGAAGCCACGGACACAAGCCAGTTTTCAAGCTCTGCCGTCATTTGGCTCTGACCTGCCTCCTAGGTAAGTCACAAACCCCAACCAGCAGCAAAACAGTGGAGGGTCCATCCAGGTGCCACATCCAGCCCTGTCATGGTTCTTAGTTACAACTGAGAACGCTTGGATGGGATATCTTCACACAGCTCAAAAGCACCACCGAAAACAAAGCCCAGGAAATGGCTGCTCCTTCCTCTTTCCAATATCAAGGCTTCAATTCATTTGGAGTCAAATGATGTTTAGTGGTGATGTTTGGTGACGTTTAGGATAACTGACTAATAAACCAGTCTCCAAATTGGTACTTACAGGGGAAACAACCAAAAACCCACAACCCTCTCGCCCACCAAAACCAAAAACATAGCAAAAAGAGCCAGTGTATTTTTTCAATTCATTTTGGTTTATAATATTTACTATATTTATCTCATTACAGAAATATTTCATGTTTATTATGGGAAATACAAAAAGTGACCTATGGAAGATCTAACTGAGCAGGGACTGAATCAGCTTTTTGTTCTTTGCTGTAAGCCCATCACTCAGTACAATACCTGACACATAATATTCAATAAATATTTGTTGTAGTCAATGTTTAAAAAGGACAGGGAAGAAACAAAAAATGACCCATAATCCTACCACCCAGAGGTAACTACTGTGAACATTCTGGTGTATTTTTTCCAGTCTTTTTTTTTCTCTGTGCATATTTACTATTCTTGAGCTCTCAGGCTGTTACTGTTTAGAATATAAGACAGCAATATTTGACAGCTTAATCCCACAGAATTAACATCTCAAAAGCAGGAAAACAAATCTGAATGCAATACAGCTTATGATTGTGGCTACATTTTTAAATCATGTGATGTTTTATTACCGGTTCCATATAAAAATTTTTAAAACATTAATGCCACTAGTTGATTGTGGAGTGTTATGTTGTAAAAATGAAGCATCTTTTTCTAACCTCCCTCATTCAATTATCTTGTCCCCTAAAGCTAAGAAGTTAATACCCTTTCTTCCAAACAACCTGGCACCAATGCTAACCTAATTTCAGCTTATGGATGTTTCACATCAACTAAGAAAAAAAAAAAAAAAAAGACATTTAAAACAGTGATGATTTAATTTTAAAAGAGAAGTTACACGAGACAAGGGCTGGAGATGTTCATACTGAGATTCTGTTTGGGTATCTGTATTAGGTAAAAACAGGAACAGAAACTAGTAATTAATTGTGGAATAGCACATGTACACAACTTCAAATCCCCCTCTCACATCCTGTTCAGTCTGGATTAACAATATCCAGAAACACGTCTTATTTTCCCAAGGAATCTTGTGAATTTCCTGAATGAAAAAGACAGAGATTTAACTACTTTGCATTTGTACTTTCTTTAATCATTATACTCCAAACAGTAAAATATCCATTCAAAGTGCAAGACAGACCAATGGATTTCAATGGAAGGGAGAAGGAAATGTTCCTTCACTGATGTGGTTTCAGATTCCACATTGCAGTTAACCTTTGAGAAGCTACCAACTGTCAAGCTCTGGCATAATATCAAAGCAGAATATCCACTATTCTCTCAAAAGGCTGTTAACATACCTCTCCATTTTCCTACCACATATCTGTGTGAGACTGGATTTCCTTCATCTACTTCAACCAAAACAACAAATTTGCAACACATTAAAGGCAGAACTAAGTTTCAGCTGCCTCCTATTAAATAAGCCAGGCATTAAAAGTATTCGCAAAACTTTGAAAACAATAGCACTCTTTTCACTAAATTGTTTTTGGGAAAATTGTTCTTTTTCACAAAAATATGTTAACAAGTAATGGATTTAATATCATTATTTTTATATGCATTAGTGTTTTTACTTTCTAAATTTTAATTTTTAATACAGTAAATATTGACAGATAAAACCCACACAGAGAAAACTTCTTGGGGTCCTCAGATTTTTTTAAGAGTGTAAGGGGAAGCAAGGCCAAGAAGTTTGAGAACTGCTGCCATGCCATGTACAGGGTGATCCTAAACCTCAGAACTCTGGTAAGGGTGGACGACGTGGGCTAGAACTCTAGTACGATGCAGCCACAATCCATACATTTATTTACTCCATTATTCAGGAACTCAACAAACATCTACTGAATGCTACAAGGTACTGGGCTTAGTGCGAGGGCATTCATGAACCGGTGGCTGTCCTCATGAAGCTTACTGTCTAACCAGGGGTCAGCCAACTTTTTCTGTAAAGGGCCAGAGAGTAAATATTTTAGGCTCTGCAGTCCATACGGTCTCTGTTGCAACTACTCAAGTCTGCCTAGCACAAAAGAGCCACAGAGGCTGTGTAACAATAAAACTTAATTTATGGACACTGAAATTTGAATTTCATATAATTTTCATATATTATGAATTATTATTTCTCTTTTGAATTTTTTTCAAGCATTTAGAAATATAAAAACTATTCTTAGCACGGGGCTCCACAAAAACAGGTGGCAGGCTGGATCTGGCTGTCTTGCACAGACCCCTCACATAGTGGGGGAAGCAGACCTTAAAAGAAACAAATACTGAAATAAGTACAAAATTACAAAGCTGGGCTGAATGTGACTAAGAAAAAGAATAACACATGCTATCAGACAGCAGAGTAAAAGACCTGTGTGGTTTTATTTTAAGTTCTCAACCCTAACTCAGAATACAGTGTAAAGCTGGA